GGGGGGGGAAGGCTAGTCTTTGGGAGACTAAATTAGTGAATGTGTGACAGCATGAGTCTTGCGCATGCAAGTTGTTTGCTTTATGCTTTGTTTATTTGTTTATTTATTGTTTATTTGCACATAAATACAAATATGTAATCAAACAATAGAAAAATGATATGCCGGGAGGCCTGAAACCTTAGTTGTTTTTCGTGGGCGTTACCAAAAGGAAACAGTAAATGTCATATTAATACACAAATAATTTACGGCGTGGCGTCGGTAGCGCAACGGTTAGAGCGTTGGACTCGGAACCGAGAGGTCCCGGGTTCGATACTCACCGTGGCCCGACGTTGTGCCCTTGGGAAAGGCACTTTACACGACTTCCCCACCTATACGGTGGAGTGACGCCCACCGAGCTGTCAAGGTGCCAAAAACACCTTACGGATTTGGTGCGCCGATGTGATAACATCTCATATCTGCCACTGAGAGCCTTAATTTTTTTTAATTAATTTTTTTACATAATAACATTAACAAGAAATCAAATTATGGTACTGAAATAACTAGAATACATGATATACGAAATGAAATTAAACAATCCGTCTTCGTCAATTAGTCGCGTTATTACGAAAAAGAAACCGATAATATAATTAACATAATAATATATAGTCAAGTCAAGTCCAGTGATTAATAATGAAAATAAATAAAACAAATGATTATAACAGATACGCCAAGAATATAATGATTGATACAAATGCTGGAAACAAGGAAAGAAATTAGGCTATGTTATGCAGTATACATGAACTTGTCAAAATTGAAAGCAGGAGAACTCGATTAGTATTGACAGACGTCCAAGTAGAAAATATCCCAGTGTGAAAACTGTCTGTACAAAACAACTGCTGATGATTAAGTTCTGCTGGTAAGACTTGTGACACGTACTTTCTGACCTCTATTATCCTTGCTTAAAGGTACCCAATGCAATTTCAGGGCAGCAAAAAAAAAAAAAAATGAGGAAATCACTTATTGACATTTCGTAGCACAATTTCGTCATCATTTTATACTTGAAGCGTTTGAAATAGCCCCCCAAAACAAGCTACTTGGAGCGTCTTTTCATATTTTTTGGGTACCACCCATAAATAACTAGACTACACTATTGCAAAACCTTCGGAGTGTTACGTAGGTCGGAGGCAAGGTTGACTGTGATTGGCTGGTTCGGCTAGGTCACCATCGGCTACAGTTCGGCTGCGCCAGCCGAATTTTTAAAAATGTTTTGTAAAACATTCGGGTATGAACGGAAGGTTCGGCCATGGTTGGCTTGTAGTTGGCTGATGTTCGGGAGTAGGTTGACAGTTCAGCGGTCAAAAACTACATTATCCATACTTTCTACACTTGGCTCGGTACATTTTCTTCAAGCAACGATGAACAAATTTTAAGAGATTAGTGACAGACTAGTGGCATCCTCTCCATTGAGACAACCTGTCTATAGCGCCCGATTTTGCTCAGTGCCTTGGGTGGCCGCCGTGGTTTTCTGGCAGGTTTGACTGTATATCATATTAATAATTCTTAATCTTGCGATTTTTGTGCGGTTAATTACAGGTCTGTTTGATGTACATCATGATTGCACTCTGATATGTCTGATATATCAGGAACAAAGAGACAGTGATGAGTTGAACATCCTCTAAACAATCTAATTACAGAAGAAGTCGTCCTTAAAGAACGTTCTATTGTTGCTTCTTGATGCAAAATGATTCGGAGTGCGAAGTGACTCCCTCACATAATTATAAGGACAAAGGAGTTCATAATGTTAAGGTGATGGAAATAAACTTGTTCACGGCTAGACTGGACAAAAATAGTGCCTGGGACATCGTTCCATGATCCGGCGTAGGTCGATTTTCGAAGCCATTTGATTTTGAATGCTGTTGTTGCTGCTTACGTTTACCATTATTTATGATGGCCTCCAAAACACTGGAACTCCCCCCATCCCCAGCCATATGGTTGGCAGAAGGCCGGGAGCAAGGTTGGTTGTGGTTTGCTGATGTTTGTCGAGATCGGCTTAAGTTATGCTGCATTATTCGTACTTTCTACACTTGGCTCGGTACATTTTCTTCAAGCAGCTGCGATGAACAAAGGTTTTAAGAGATTAGTGACAGTCTGGTGGTATCCTGTCCACAGATAGAACCAGTCTATAGCGACATTTTGCTCAGTGCCCTGAGTGACCGCCGTAGTTTTCAGGCACGTTTCACTGTGAATGAAATCAATAACTTTTGATCTTACAATTTTTGTGCGGTTAGTGACAGGTCTGTTTGATGTACATCATGATTGCACTCTGATATGTCTGATATAACAGGAACAAAGAGACAGTGAAAAGTTGAAAATTCTCTGAACAATCTAATTACAGAAGAAGTCATCCTTAAAGAACGTTCTATTGTTGCTTCTCGATGCAAAATGATTCGGAGTGCGAAGTGACTCCCTCAAATAATTACAAGGACAAATAAAGAGTTCACAATGTTAAGGTGATGGAAATAAACTTGTTCACGGCTACACTAGACAAAAATAGTGCCTGGGATATCGTTCCATGATCCGGTATAGGTCGATTTTCGAAGCTATTTGATTTTGAATGCTGTTGTTGCTGCTTACGTTTACCATTATTTATGATGGCCTCCAAAACACTGGAACTCCCCCCAACCCCAACCATATGGTTGGCAGAAGGCCGGGAGCAAGGTTGGTTGTGGTTTGCTGATGTTTGTCGAGATCGGCTTAAGTTATGCTGCATTATTCGTACTTTCTACACTTGGCTCGGTACATTTTCTTCAAGCAGCTGCGATGAACAAAGGTTTTAAGAGATTAGTGACAGTCTGGTGGTATCCTGTTCACAGATAGAACCTGTCTATAGCGACATTTTCCTCAGTGCCTTGAGTGACCGCCGTGGTTTTCAGGCAGGTTTGACTGTATATCATATTAATAATTCTTAATCTTGCGATTTTTGTGAGGTTAATTACAGGTCTGTTTGATGTACATCATGATTGCACTCTGATATGTCTGATATATCAGGAACAAAGAGACAGTGATGAGTTGAACATCCTCTGAACAATCTAATTACAGAAGAAGTCGTCCTTAAAGAACGTTCTATTGTTGCTTCTTGACGCAAAATGATTCGTAGTGCGAAGTGACTCCCTCACATAATTATAAGGACAAAGGAGTTCATAATGTTAACGTAATGGAAATAAACTTGTTCACGGCTAGACTGGACAAAAATAGTGCCTGGGACATCGTTCCATGATCCGGTATAGTTCGATTTTCGAAGCCATTTGATTTTGAATGCTGTTGTTGCTGCTTACGTTTACCATTATTTATGATGGCCTCCAAAACACTGGAACTCCCCCCAACCCCAACCATATGGTTGGCAGAAGGCCGGGAGCAAGGTTGGTTGTGGTTTGCTGATGTTCTTTGAGATCGGCTTAAGTTAGGCTGCATTGTTCGTACTTTCTACACTTGGCTCGGTACATTTTCTTCAAGCAGCTGCGATGAACAAAGGTTTTTAGAGATTAGTGACAGTCTGGTGGTATACTGTCCACAGATAGAACCAGTCTATAGCGACCGATTTTGCTCAGTGTCTTGAGTGACCGCCGTGGTTTTCAGGCAGGTTTGACTGTATATCATATTAATAATTCTTAATCTTGCGATTTTTGTGAGGTTAATTATAGGTCTGTTTGATGTACATCATGACTGCACTCTAAAATATCAGTAAACAAAGAGACAGTGATGTGTTTTTAAACACATCACTGTCTCTTTGTTCAGAGAATGATCAACATTCTCTGAACAATCTAACTATTGTTGTTTCCTGATGCAAAATGATTCCCATAATTACAAGGACGAAGGGCTCACAGTGTTAAATTGATGGACATAAACTTGTTGACGGCCAGACTGCACAGAAAGAGTGCTTG